GCCGGCCGCGTGCGCTGTGCAGCAGCGCGGCGCTCCGGGCAGCCGCCCCGCCCCAGCACCGCGGTTCCGCTGCGGCCCCACAGCGCCGCCCCCGCCTCCTCTATTATTTTTTTTTTTCTTTTATTAACACCAATAAGCAGAAGGACAACTTGTTTCATATTTTTCCTCCCTTGGATTTTTTATTTCTCTCACTTCCTTGTTTTCTTCTCCTTGGACAAGGCCTGGGCTGAGGAGCGGGCCCAGCCTGCACTGCGGAAGCGCCGCCCAGCGCAGCGCCCATGTCCCCTCCAAATCCCGCTCCATGGCGCCCATGTCCCCTCCAAATCCCGCTCCATGGCGCCCATGTCCCCTCCAAACCCCGCTCCACGGCACCCACATCCCCTCCAAACCCCGCTCCACGGCACCCACATCCCCTCCAAATCCCGCTCCACATCCCGCGGCGCCCACGGCTCCTCCAAACCCCGCTCTGCGCCCCAGCGCCTGCCCACGCAGGCATGAGGCGCCAGGGAGCCGCCCGCGCTGCCCCTCGGCTCGGCAGGGCCTGAACGTGCCAGGGAAGCACTTCCAAAGGGTACTGGGAATGGATATAAAAAGGTACTGGGGAAAAATCCGCCCCCTTCGAMGAGCTCTGGCGAGACCTGGGCCACGCTCGGCAGCCCTGCTGTGCCCAGCTCTGGTCTGGGACTCCTCATGCTGAGGCCAGGACTCACGACAAGGCTTTTCGTAGGTTCAAAGTCACACTCAGTCCTCAGAAGTTTTAAAGTGCCAGAACATTAGGCGACAGTCAAGTACGGGAGAGATGACACGAGCGGGGAGCAATGAGCTGTCGCTAGCCGTCCTGGGAGGCCAGAACGCCACTGTCGTCTTGCCCTTAGTCCCCAGGCYGGACCAAGGGCTTGTGAAACAGCCACTACCGGGCTGGACGTAKCCCCCGAAAGCAGAAACACCACTCCTGGGGCTCGAGGAACACGCCAGCCCCTCACGGGGTGCAGAGGCCAGAGCCAGAACAAAGCGTTAAGAGGACACCGCTTCCTGGGGTGGGATGTTGTCCGTGTCTCCAGCAGAAAGCGCAGGCTGAGGGCTCTATGCCAGTGCAGGAGAAGGCACAAAGGGCCAGCAGTGCCTTGTGTTCTTGGGTTTGATCCCTGCCCTGAGGATTCAGCCCCACTGAAACAGAGCCCCACAGCGGCGCCAGGTCAGCAAGCGGCTCCAGAAGCCACATGACAGAGGAAGTTCTGGGGCTTCCCAGAGATCTCAGAACGGGATCCTCCGCCTCTGCCTTTGAACATGAAGAGCTGCAAGCTGAGCTGGTGGAGGTGATGTGCAGTCAAGTACGGCGGCCTCCAATTAAGGCAAACAGCAGGGAGAGGAAGGATGGCTGCAGCCGGCCCTGCGCAGCGGGCAGGACAGCGTGTGCTGGATGAATCAGTGCTGAGGCTGGGACGAGCCGCACGCTGTTCCAAGACAGTGATGGCAGCACCTCTGCCTGGGGACTCCGTACAGGACAGCTCTGCAGCCCTTCAGGCCCCCCYAGGGATTAGCGACCACCCTCCTCTTCCCCACAACACCGATCTGCCTGCTTGTCCCCGCTCCGCCAATTGAGCACCAACAAATTCGCTGCAGGCATGGCTGTGACTGGAAGCAGTGGTTGTGCTGGAAAACACAGCTCTTTGGTATGAGGCTCCTTCAAGGGAGTTGCAGGAAGGAAGAGAGAAGTGGGGTGGTTACCAAAGCTGCCACCCTCAGGGGCCGGGAGCTGCGGGGGACACCGGCGTCACATGCCGGGTGCATTCCGTCGCCAGACCTGCTCGCCTGCGATGTATGTGGCTTGCACACACAGACTGTCGCTGAGCATCAGGAAATCTGCACCAGACAGGAGAGAAAGGAAGAGCCGTCAGAGAGGAACAGAGGGAAAGGAAGCAGAGCAGCTGAATCTGACCAGGAGGAACAGGACTCTGTGTCAGCAGAGTCCTAAAGACATGGAGTTAGCAGGAAAGAGCTGCTCCCCACTGCAGAAGTGACAGTGCAGTCCGCAGGAGCCCTGAGTGTGAGAAGTCACACTACTGTCCCCATACTGRTACCTGCATCAGAGTCGTAATTCAGGGTTCCCTTTTCATGCTCAATCCCTAGGAGCTGGGCGGGATGCAGAGATGCTGCCTCCAAGGCGGTCTCTACGGAGCACCCTTGAACAGAGGAAGAGCTTTAGGCAGCACAGACCCAGCGCCAGAGCAGCCCCAGCCCCTCTTCCCTAAGGGAATGGCTCGCGGACAAACACAGCAGGGAAACTCCTCCAAAGAGGCACCTGGTCTGGAGGACCAAACCCACAGGGCACTACAGTACTTTCAGCACTGAAGCTTCTCCCCTTCTGTAGCAGGAAGGCAGTAGCACTCCATCTCACTAGGGGATGCTCTCTTCCTTGGACTCCCAGGAGCCTGTGCACAAAAAGTGCAGGGGGGCTGCAATGCTGTCATCTCAGCATGGAGCTGAGCAGAGGAAACATCCCTATCAAGAYAGCAGGGAGAGCTAAACACCTAGGGTATGGGGAGAGGAAAAGAACCACCTTCGATACCTTTGTGAAAAAAGGGCAYGAGAGTTCACTGGTTATTAGTACTGCAAGTTCAAGTCAAGTTGCTGCTCAAAAAAGTGCTCCTCTGAAGCCCATGCCACTGATCTCAGCCCTTCCCCTCTTGGGCAAAGGGAAGCATTTCCAGGCTGAGCAAGACCAAGGCCTTTTCCCGAGTCCCTGCAGGCTTGGGGACAAGGCTCCTTACCTGTGGCTTCGAGGAAGTGCCGCACACACGTGTCCATGGTGGCCACGCTGCCACTCAGGGTCTTGGTGCCTGCGAGAGGAGCAGGACAGCGCTGAGCACGTCCCCACCGAGAGGGCCAAAAGTGGGGGAGGCGGAATATGAGAAGGTAGAAAACTGGGGATTATCAGGAGCAAGTTGGAGGGCTCTCAGCCACTGCTGCTGAGTGACAGAGTGAGGTGAGACACAGCCCATTCCGGCAGTGTGGGGAAGGGTGCTGAGAAAACACTCCACAGTTTCACCATCAGACCAGCTAGACTGAATGAAACGCCAGCCCCCACCTCAGGCAGCTGCTGCCGGGGTCAGGGTACTGAGCAAAGAATGATCCTCCCCCGAAATATCCATCCCTRCAGTCTTCAACTGTTTGCAGATTGGCGCTTCTGTAACCAAAAGTGGTGGTATTATAATGAAGACAAAGAATAAGAAATGTCTGTGGAATTTCCCCATCCTTTCTATCCCCACCAGAACTTGTAGCATCCTGTGCAACAAGAGGTCCCAAAGGTGCTGTGGATAGGAGGAATCTACTGTTTCTCAGCTCATGCCAGCAAAACAGGGCCCTTCTCTTGAAGTATTGCAACCACTCCAGGGCCAAGTTATTACACTGCTCTTAATTATGGGGCAACACAATCCAAGAGGAAGGCACAAGCACTACCTGGAAAAGGTCCTGGAGAAGGGAGGAGGTGCCTGACGACTGGAAAAAAAGCCAGTGTCACACCAGTCTTCAGAAAGGGCAAGGAGGAGGACCCAGGCAACTACAGGCCAGTCAGCCTCACCTCCATCCCTGGGAAAGTGATGGAACAGCTCATCCTGGCTGCTGTCTCCAAGTGCATGGAGGACAAGAAGGTGCTCAGGAATAGTCAGCATGGATTCACCAAAGCGAAATCATGCTTGACTAACCTGATAGGCTTCTACGAAGGAGTGACTAGCTGGATAGACGAGGGGAGAGCAGTGATGTCCTCTATCTGGACTTGAGCAAGGCTTTTGACCCCGTCCCTCACAGCATCCTCCTGGGCAAGCTCCGGAGGTGTGGGATAGATGAGTGGACGGGGAGGTGGATTGAGAACTGGCTGCATGGCAGAGCTCAGAGAATGGTAATCAGTGGTGCTGCGTCCAGCTGGAGGCCTGTAGTTAGCCGTGTCCCGCAGGAGTCAGTCCTGGGTCTGGTCCTGTTCAATTTATTCATCAATGACCTTCATGCAGGGACGGAGCAAGTTAGCTAATGATACGAAATTAGGAGTAGTGGCTGATAGCCCCGAGGGCTGCACCACCATCCAGAGGGACCTGGACAGACTGGACAATTGGGCGGAGAGAAACCTCATGGAGTTCAACAAGGGCAAGTGCAGGGACCKGCACTTGGGGAGGAATAACCCCASACACCGGTACAGGCTGGGGACTGACCTGCTGGAGAACAGCCCCACAGAGAGGGACCTGGGAGTCGTGGTGGATGACAAGATGACCATGAGGCAGCAGTGTGCCCTGGTGGCCAAGAAGGCCAACGGGATCCTGGGGTGCATTAAGAAGAGTGTCTCCAGCAGGTCGAGGGAGGTGATCGTCCCCCTCTACTCAGCTCTGGTGAGGCCACATCACAGAATCACAGAATATTCAAGGTTGGAAGGGACCTCTAGAGATCATCTAGTCCAACCTTCCTGCTCAAGCAGGCACACCTAGAGCATGTGGCACAGGGTGGCATCCAGGCGGGTTTTGAAGACCTCCAGAGAAGGAGACTCCACAACCTCCCTGGGCAGCCTGTTCCACTGCTCTGTCACCCTCACAGTAAAGAAGTTGCTCCTCACCTGGAGACGGAACTTCCTGTGCTCCAGCTTATGGCCATTACCCCTCGTCCTATCGCTGGCCACCAATGAAAACAGCCTGTCCCCTTCCTCCCTGCATTCTCCCTTCCTGAACTTACACACATTAATCAGATCCCCTCTGAGCCTTCTCTTCTCCAGAGAAAACAGGTCCAGYTCACTCAGCCTCTCTTCATACGAGAGATGTTCCATTCCCTTAATCATCTTAGCTGCTCTTCTCTGGACCCTCTCGAGAAGCTCCACGTCCCTCCTATACTGGGGAGCCCAGAACTGCACACAGTACTCCAGGTGCGGCCTCACCAGAGCTGAGTAGAGGGGCAGAATCACCTGTGGGCCACATCTGGAGACTGTGTCCAGTTCTGGGCTCCCCAGGACAAGAGGGATGTGGAGCTGCTGGAGAGAGTCCAGCGCAGGGCTACGAGGATGATCAGGGGCCTGGAACATCTGCCMTRKGAGCAAAGGCTGAGGGAGCTGGGYCTGTTCAGCCTGGAGAAGAGGAGGCTGAGGGGGGACCTGAGCAGTGTCTATAGATACCTCAAGGGAGGCAGTGAGGAGGAGGGGGCTGGCATCTCTTCAGTGGTGGCCACTGATAGAATAAGAGGAAACGGCCACAAACTGAAGCACCAGAAGTTCCACAGGAACTTTCTTTTCAGGAAATTTCTTAACAGTGAGGGTGACAGAGCCCTGGCACAGGCTGCCCAGAGAGGTTGTGGAGTCTCCTTCTCTGGAGATCTTCAAACCCCGCTTGGATGCAGCCCTGTGCCACGTGCTCTAGGTGACCTGCGTGTGCAGGGGGTTGGACTAGATGACCTCTGGAGGCCCCTTCCAACCTTAAGGATTCTATGACTCTACCTTGTGCCWCTGGGCACTGCAGAGTCTGCAGCAGCGATTGCGGCTCCTTTGTGAGTGGCGCTTACCTGCAATGTAGGTGTTGAGTCCATCAATCTCCACTACCTGCTGGCCCAGCGTATGCCGCCCAGGTGCCAGTCCCATGCCAGCAATCGCGTCCGTCACCAGCACCAGGCCTRAGGAATGCAAGGAAATGGGCTGCATTAGCTCCATGTCTGCTCTCCTGCAGATCTGAGCACTGTGCTCGGCTGACCCCGCCTTGAGAAAGGGCAAAGACTTCTTGAGCAGTGTCTTACTGAGGTGGGAGGTTCTGGTGGGAAGAACATTTTTGAGGCAGCAAGACACGGCACACGTGGGAGGCAGCACAGTGTTTGAGATGGAGCTGGCTGGCAACTCCGCGTGGCTCTGGCATTGCTCACCTTTGGGATGTGCTCGGTGGGCAATGCGCAGGGCAGCCGGGTTGGTGTGGATGCCATCAGAGATCATGCCATAGAAGACCCTCCGCCCAGCAGGAATCTTGTCACTCGTCAGCAGCCCCACGATGCCTGGGTCACGATGGTGGAACTGCCCGAGGGGAGAGAGCGCAAGCTGTGGAGCATCACTAGGACTCGGAGGTCGCGATTGCTCCTGCTAGGGCACACAGCTGCCATCTGTGTCACACAGTGCCTGGCAGCTGGGCAACCCCATCACTTGTTGGCTTCAGCCTCGACTCTCTTTTAGATCAGGCAGCAGCAACGTGAAGCTACAGGTTCAGTGCTGAAAGCCCGCTGAAAGGCCTGGTGTGAAGCAAGCTGAGGAGAATAAGCACCCGTGGGGAGTGAGAGAGAAAGCACCGAACGCAATACAAGCACAGGGCAGCTGCCCATGGCCACTCACCGGCAACATGGCATTGAAGAGGTGAGTGATGAAGGTAGCACCCTGCTGCACGGCCTCCTCTGCCTGGGAGAGATTAGCCACCGAGTGACCTGCGAACAAAAGCCACTGCTTGATGTACTTCTTTCTTTCTCCACTTAGCTTCCCACAGGAACATCCAAGAATCCAACAACAGCACGCTGTTCTTATGCCTTCCAACTAGGTACAAGATGCCAGCCCTGCCATGGCTCTAGTTGTGGATGTCACCTGAACAAATTTGTGGTTTATACTGTAATAACCACAAATGCTGCCTTGGTCCCAAAAGAACTGGGGAGATTTGGCCATTTGACCAGCCCGAAGGTCACAGAATCACACAGAATCACAGAATGGTTTAGGTTGGAAGGGACCTCTAGAGGTCATCCAGTCCAACCTTCCTGCTCCAGCAGGGACACCCAGAGCAYGTGGCACAGGGTGGCATCCAGGCGGGSTTTGAAGACCTCCAGAGAAGGAGACTCCACARCCTCCCTGGGCAGCCTGTTCCAGGGCTCTCTCACTCCCACAGTAAAGAAGTTCCTYGTCATATGGAGATGGAACTTCCTGTATTGCAGTTTGCAACCATTACCTCTTGTCCTGTTACTGGTCACCAATGAGAAGAGCTTGGCCCTTTTCTCCCTACGTTCCCCCTTCATGAACTTACACATGTTAATCAGATCCCCTCTCAGCCTTCTCTTCTCCAGAGAAAACAGGCCCAGCTCACTCAGTCTCTCAGTGGTCCTAGGGCCATTCTGCTGTTCTTGGGTATTTAAGGGCTAGATATGGGAAGGATGTATGTCAAGGGAGTAGAGACGCAGTGGGGGCTYTGCCAAGATAGAAGGTGTGGATAATACCCAGCTCAAAACAATTTTGTTTTTCCTAGCACAAACAGCTGTAATGCTCTATGGATAAACTTTACCTTTCTGCAGTTCCTCTGCTTATCTGGACTGTACAATAAGAGCTGTGGGCTCTGCTGTACAAATACGCATTTTGCTTACGGTTCAATTTCACCCTGAATAAAAATCCTTCCTGCCCCCACTCCCACCAAGCCCAAGCGATCCAAGGCAAAAAAGAATACATAAAATAGGACCAGAAAAATGTGGCCAGTTTTAAGTTGGTAGCCTGCAAAGCAGSGGAGGAAAATGTCTCCCACACCATTTCCGGTGAAAAACGGAGTTATCAGAACTCAGCAGCAACCTTTGGAAAACTCATGTCACCTGTCAATAAYGCCTTAAGGAGCTGAACTTCAGAGTTTGAACCTTTCCAGGGAGTCATTATTAAACTGAAAAGAAAAAAAAAGCTGCATTCCTTCCTCCATTTGAACAGCACCAACACTACTGTGTGCAGGGGCTCTTTAATTGATATGAAATTTGATGCCATGGAGACAAATCTTCAAGATCAACGTGTGCCCCAGCTTGTGACAAAGTCTGTCACCCCCGCGCAGGCCAGAACTGCTGCCCGTGACGCAGGAAAGCCACTTCCCTGCAAGGACTCCCAGTACTCCTGGGAAACGGAGAGCCTCCCTAGTCTCGGAGGGGGCAGCCACAGGAAATCCTCCGCACACCGTTTCACCAACACACTGTTTTACGGTTGCTGTGGCCCTCAGGGAAAGGGTTGCCCGGCCCCTGCTCTGTGCAGCACAGGGAGGTCAGCCTGAGCGTCCCCGAGCCTCATCCCCGGCCTTACCAAGTGAGACGCAGATGCCCCGCTTGGTGAGCTCCCGGATCACCTCGCTGCTCCTCTTCATCTCCGGGGCCAGGGTGACTATGCGGACACAGTCGAGGCTCCCGTACGTAGCAAGCAGGTCTTGGAAGGCGCCTGCCTCGAAGGTGCGGAGGCAGCGCTCCGGGTGCGCCCCCTTCTTCTCCTTGCTGATAAACGGTCCTTCCAGATGGACCCCTGCCCAAACAGCAACAGTGAACCATGGCTCTTCCTCTCCCTACCAGAGCAGGGAACCTGCTGCTTCAGTCCTGCTCTAGACAAGCTGCTGGTGCCCTCTCAGCAAAACACCCTGCCCAAGCAGCTCTGAGCATGAGTAACGTCAGACGCCCAACGGGAGCAAGATTTTGTCCCATTCACTTTTATTTTGCTCCAGCTCTCTTCACTGGTAACCAGCTCCCCACAGGAAATAGCTGCTGGCAGCCCCAAATCTCTAGCTCCCCCCCCAGCTCAGTCCTTCCAAGATCACTTCCAAAGCCCATTTCCAGGCTGTGCTCCACTGGCACTCCATTCTGGGTCGGGGCTATGAAGAGCTCCAAGTAAGATCCCATGACGGCAGCCTTCCCAAAGAGGTACCCCAACCAATTTTTCAGGATAGTGGGAGGAAATCAGTCCCCCAAATCCCTGGCAAATAACAAAAGCCTCTAGGTTGCAGCACTCAGCATGGTGAGAGATGGAGCACTGGCCAAGCCAGCAGCACGCTGCCATTATTCTATCTGACCTAGAAGTGCTGGACTTGTACGTGTTCAGAGGCAGAGAACACAGCAAAGGCCAGGGAAGGGCCGAGGGAGAAAACAGGTCCTTGCCACCACCAGCCCCAAATCGCTTTCCCCACTGTAGCTTCTCCCATAATGAGGAAAAAGGTAATTATTCTCCTATGGTAGCATCAGAGAGAATAAGGGGCAAAAGCACTTACCCAGGATACCTGCTCCATGGGCTCCACCATTTCTTACACTGATCTGAGGGAGGATCTAGAGAAGGGAGGTTTGTCAGAAGCCTTGCAGATATAGAAACCCAACTTACTCTGCTGAGACACGCACAGAGCTGTCTCAGCAGATCAGTAGTCGTTGGTATCAACAGCAAGTGCTGGTRTTTGCCTTATAAAGCCCAGATGGTTCTGCTCAGTGGAGCACTCTGAAGGGTCCCACCTAAGCAGAAACAGCCACATCTCTGCTCCTGGTGGGAACAGAGGTGGATTTGCCTCCAAATCCTTGGGTCGCTSCGCAGCTTGGCAGGTGGAGCACTGGGGACCATTAGCCAAACAAATCTCGCAAAGAAAGAGCAAGTCAAAAGGCCGACTTGTGTAAGGCACAGGAGACATTACTGACTCAATGAATATTCCACTTGAATAGTTGAAAGGTTGGGGCCAAGAAATCCAGAGGTCAGAGTCCAGTTGCTCATGGCTTTTCTTTCAAGGCAACTACCTCAGCCTACAAAGAATGAAGCTGCAACCTCAGCCTTCAGACCTTCATCACCCTTCTCTTACCTGGTGGTACACAGATGGGGGAGAAGTCACCAGCGTGGGACAGAAGGAGGTCACTCCATGGGAGAGGATTTTCTGACCAACCAGGTCAATCCCTGACTTGAAGTCATCGGTAGCCAGGGAGAAATCAACCCCAAAGCCTCCTGCAGCACAAACAAAACAGAGACGAAGGCTGCAGCCTCTTCACGGAACTGCTCTCTTCCCTAACCAGAACTTCCTCTGCAATGAAGCAGGAAGGGGATACTCTAAGAATGTGTTATGTTCTCCCACCCAAAAATGCTTCAGAATTATTTTGCATGACAAGATCAAACCACTCCATTCATATCCGCAATGACTGGACCCAAAGAGCTCTATCAGCACTTGTGTTTTATAGTCTCAAAGCTCTCAAAGTACAAATTCAACCAACACTGTTCCTGCTGAAATGCTTTTTGCCACAACATTCCAGAAGTCTGCAAGAAATACCAACTTTTCATTTTGACTCAGAGTAGAGTCGAGTCATTAGAGAGTAGAGCTGTCCTTTACCATGATCTAGCACAGCCCTTCTTGGCATCCAGAATAGAGCTACTGCTGGTAAAATCTGTTCCTTTGACAAGTCCCACTCTGACCCTCCAGATGCAGGAGAAAAGAAACTATGGATTAAAAGGAAGTTAAGAGGAAAACTGAGTCCAAAACCCCATAGGGCCAAAGCATCAAAATGGATGCATTATGCAACCATGGGCAAAATGCCTCTTTATCATGAGTTTGGTGACTTACGTCTCCCTCAAGCAGCTGTCACCCTGCTCAGATAAATTCAACTGTAGCCAGGACCCACACAGCAAAGAACAAGGGACACACCTGGGAACCTCCTATCTCAGAGTGGCTTCTCCTTACCATTGATCTGCACATCAATGAAACCAGGGGCAATGATGCTGTCCTTGCAGTCCAGTTGGATGTCGGCAGATGCCTTCTCATCAAAGAAAAGCTTCTCCGGGTTGAGAATCTTCCCTTCTCGCACCCACAGGTCCTCCCTGAGTGGACAGTCACACACACACACTGCTCCTCCCAGCAGCAGAAGAGGGGCCCCAACTGTTCCACACACCACAAACCCTCTTTATCTCCCCATATCTGCTATATTTTCCAAGTGCAATCTCCGATTTTGTGTAGGGACCTGGAACAGCTTGCGGAACAGGCTGGGAAACAGAGCGGCTTTGCTTTCCTGGTCAGAACCTTCATCTTTGCGAGGTACCTGACATCTATGAAGGGCTGTTTTCAGGAACGCAGTGGAGACACAACCAGTGACCAACTGTCTCTCTATTTGGCCTCCAGTTTTATGAGGCTCCCTTGATAATTCTGAGCCCTCTTTCTAAAGGACCAAGAGTTGACTGATGTGGTGGCATGAGAGACAGGTGAAAGWGGAGGGGAGCACACTAAGACTCCCTTCTTTCAAGGATTAGGAGAAGAGCCAGGCTGTGGGGGATGAGAGATGTGGGGAAGCAGGTCATGCGAACCTGGGTTCACATCCTAAGATCTTCTCCCTGGGACACGCCTGGCTTCAAGGTGACCTCTGAGAGCCCACGAGGAGCCAGCGCCCAGCGGAGCCCGCTCACCTCTGCAGCTCGTGATTCCGCAGGATACGGCAGTTCGTGAACTGGAAGATCGGCGCGTCTGAGACGGATTTATTAGATGGCATTATCGGGGCTGGGAGGGGAGCGACCTGAAACGGATCGAGGAGGGCTCGTTTAGGCGTCGAGGGTGCCGAGGAGGGGACACGGCGGGGGGACACAAGCAGGGAGGGCCTGGGGACAAGCCAGGAGAGCACAGCGGTGGCAGAGCAGCCTTCCCTCAGCGCCCTCGCCAGC